CCTAGTTGTATTGTCTTATTTATAACATGTTATAATTATAGAAAATAAAATGATAACCTTCAGAATAATATTGGCCAAAAATAGTTTTGTGAAGACTATATGTTCCTGAAAAAACAAAACACGCAATATATACAATTTTCTTTGAAAAAAACAGTTTGGTGGTAATTTCTGTATATGCAAATTAGCTAATTAGCATATATGATGTCATAAATAAATGAAAAAATAGTGTTGTGAAGACTATATCTTCCTGAAAAAACAACAGTCACGCATTATATACAATTTTCTTTGAAAAAGCAGAATTGTTGGTAATTTATGAATATGCAAATTTGCTAATTAGCATATATGATGTTATAAATGATTGGGCCAATCCACGATCTACATTTTGGTACCAACTTTACATCCGTATCTTCATATGTATTGAAAATATAGATCTTTTAACGATTTCATGATATTTTCATGTAGCCATAGCAACATGTTAATTTTCAGCCCTTTCAGGGCATTTTCCGTCCTGGAAACAAGCATTTTTGAAAAAGTCAGAAAATTTTGCATAAGAAAAGTCTGTTTCCACAATGTTTGACGTGGGGTGCAGTTAAACTCCACATTTTTGGCCTTAGCTTACAGACTATATCGCCTGCCATGTTTAAGTAAAATAGCAGATTGACGAATGAGAACGTGCTGCAGTCCCTTTCTAAACATGAAAATTAACAATTTCGACTCGTGCCGAGATCACATAACGTGAACATAGCTAATGTATGTTTGTTTGTGTGTTTCGATTTAACCGATATCCCATCATCTTACAATGCGCTAGTGTGATGGGTGTGTTATTACTGAACAACTGGGTATTGAGTAAACTCTATCATTTGACTCGAAGAATGTTTTGAATTATTGATATCGCCTTGGGGAAATCAATTAATATATTACGTCAATACGTATCGAGATAAACAACGGGTAGACACAGTCTACTTAACGCTGATTGACTTTTTCATAATATTGATGAATTACTAAATTTCTAAATGTTAAATTACGTACACTTCTCTGACGTACTGGCGTCATCGACGAGGAGGATTTCTTCTAGCAGTTGCCATGGAGATCGGTCGATGACACTGATGACGGTCCGTAACAACGTAGTCCATGCTTCGTTGTGGAATACGATGATGACGCTCGTCTTTGGTAAAATGTGTGGATATTCTCTGTGTTCGCACCTATCATGGAAAACACAATTTATTATTTCATATATATGGAATTTCATTTACCCCAATCATGATATCCGATGTTATTTCCTGCATTTGATGAGCAATTCTTGCTGACACGAAGGGTTTCGGCTTATGGGGGGCGACTGCTTTATTTAATTTTAAAATTGAATCATATAACGTGATATTTAGCAATCGGTATGATAAGGCACCTATATAAGAATAGTTATTTAGATCAATATGTAAGTTATGGGTACCTATGTTGTGCGGAACAATCAGGGGTACCCTAACTTACAGAGTGTTCTACGGATACATTTACATATGCAGATCGTTCTAAATAAAGGGGATACGCATGAATTTGAAATGAAAAGTATTAACACGTACGCGACCGGTCTGGAATCTGGCAATGTCCGATTCAGAGCAATTTTATCACTGGCGATGATATTGAATTCGAATTGATAGAAGGTTGCTTTGCTCAGTCGAGCTTCTTGGGGTGTCAAATCCACCGGCATACCTCCTTCACCCGGCGAGTCTGGATACCATGGCTGCTCCAATGGTCGATGCCCTAATTGCGGCAAAATGTTCCCAGACCGTCGCTGTATCTGTTGCTGTTCAGTCTGTGTCGAGTCATCTTCCACCTTTTCCACTTTATTTCCGCCATGCGCTTTCTCTGAATCACGCTTTCCAGTCTGATCTTTGGTCAAAAGGTTTTCAACGCCATTTTCGTTCGACGCATGATCTTCGGCTACATCGTATTCACCTGGTTCAGGTTCGACGTTTCCTAAACAGCGTGAGACAATATATGTATTACGCAATGCAGTAAATGTCTATAATGTCACTTATGATGTGAGTAAAAATGGATAGTTCAAGTACAGCTACACTCATTTCCCGATATTTGTACTTTACTTTAATTGCATTTGGCCAAATTATTTCAATTGTTTGATCATTTACCGTATATACTTATGAATAACTTTCATACCCCATACTTCATCACACGGGTACATAATTACGAATGACTTTCATACCCCATACTTCATTACACGGGTGCATACGAAGGGCGTGCAATAAGTAATGCCCCTGACCCACTCCCAGTTGTCTGTTCTAGATGAAATTATGTTGCAAAAAACAGCTCTGAACTAATTGTGGTTTCTGATTTACAGGTGTTTGAACTGAGTCAGGTGTGAAATGGAGCCAGTTGAGTGTCGCGCAGTGATCCGGTTTTTGTATTTGAAAGGACGCACACAAAATGAGACTTAATAAAAGAAACTTATGGTGGTGATGCCCCATCATATGACCTTGTAAAACGCTAGCACCGTGAATTCAAACATGGCCGGAAGTCTGTGGAAACAGCTCCCAGATCTGGTCGTCCCTTTTCTGCCATTGATGAGGCATCTGCCCGTCAAGTTGAGGCAGCCATAATGGAGGATCGACGCATTACTGTTCGCCAAATAACGAGGTCAAGACAAGTACAGGGTCTGTGGAAACTATCATTCATGACCATTTTCATATGCACAAGACGCTGACCAGATGTCTGCCAGGTGGATTCCCAGGTTGCTCACACCTTTCCAGAAGCAAGAACGCGTCGAGTGCTCGAGGATGAATTTGGAGATGTGCCAAGAAGGTGAGTCAAATGGTGCCACAATTACAGGAACAATTACGTTTCACTTTTGATGAAATTAAGAGAAGCTATCAAAATCAAGAGGCGGGGCAAGATCAGTAAAGGTATCCTCCTCCTGCAGGACAACGCTCCGGTCCACAACTCGTGTCCACATGTCGCCAGATCAGAAGCACGGGCGTGTGGCTATGAAATCCTCCCCCATCCCCTTACTCTCCTTACTTTGCACCCTCTGACTTTCATCTCTTCCCAGCCATGAAGTTGTTTTTGCAAGGAAAGCGTTTCCCAAATGATGCAGCCTTGATTTCTGAAGTTACGACGTGGTTGGAGGACCAACCTGGGGTGTTCTACAAAAACAGTGGCCAGAGCATAACTCTGGGTGGTTTCTATGTAGAGAAAGACTAATAACTGTGCCAAGTTTCATTACTCTCCTGCTATGGAAAATGGGTCAGGAGCATTACTTATTGAACGCCCCTCGTATTTATGGATAACTTCCATACAAATACTTCATTACACGGATTTATATTCATGGATAACTCCCAAAGCCCATATTTCATTACACGAGTGTATATTTAAGCAATAACCCCCCGCCGAAGGCGGGTATACCACAAGATATTGCACAATTGACGACATATATGCACGAGCCGC